GTGTGCGTGTGCGTGTGTGTGTGAGAGAGAGATGTTTCTTAGATGAATCATCTATTTTAAACATTAACTTTTTTTCTCTTTCCTCTTCATTGACCTTCATTGAAACTCTAAAAGACAGACCAATAAAAAGGAAATCAGATAGCACACTATATAACAATACTGCCAAAGTATAACTAAAGTAAGTTCAGATCATATAGAAATACAACAGAGTTTACAGTAGCTTTGAACTCTGTTAGAGAAATTAGATTTTGTGAAATTCATTTTAACTTTAGGACTATAACTTCCTGGAAAACAAACCAGTGACTTTGTCATTTCTGTCACTCAGCAGCTATTCTGCATGTCCTTTAAGAAATACAAGAGATGCATCTCTAGAGATTTGTGGTTAGATAAAGACTATAACAAAAAGAAAATATATATATGGCTATACTGCCTCTCAAAAGGAAAGCATAGTGTCAATTTAGTACTACTACACAACAGTAGCTACTGCCCAACACGCATGGATACTGTGCTGATGGATTAATGTACAGCAAATCACCACGATATAGAATCTAGGCCAGATGGCAGCAGCTAGGCTTCTCCTAATTCCTAACAGCTGTAACAGTGTCCAAAGTATCTTAAGAATTCCTCATATCTGTCATTTACACTTAGAAATAGTTGAGCTGATGGTTGCAAAGTGTATATGGCAGAATATGTCCATAATTACACAACACTTTATCACATTTGTATTAGTTCTGAATGCGCTACACTTGAATTATTTGCATAAGAGGGCCAAACTCAGATCCCTGAAGTACTCCACTGAGAACAATGAGCCATATTGAATTGTGTCTGTGGAGTTTCACTCTGCAGTGTGGATTAAACACCCAAAATTATCTACATGACATTAAGTGCTACGTAGACAGTCGTTAACATGTGCAGGCTTGCTTACAGTCTTTCATAGTGGCTCGTTGTGTTGGCTTTTGTGGGTTCAAAAGAGAAGTCTTTACAATTGATGATTTCTATGAGCAAAACAGACCTAAAGTAACTCAGCTATTTTTTATTTTGCTATTTTTATTTTGAACTGTTGCAAGAGCCAAAGTTGAGGCTCAAATGTGAAAAAAATTGGAATTTCTGTCCACTACCCTTTCTAAAACCTCAGTGACACGGGACCAAAAGAAGGATTACTGGTCTTTCACGGAGGCATATGAAGAGCTTAACACTGCATAGGATAGTAATCTCGAACCAGTGTTATATGTGGAATTTGTGGGTGCTAAGGCCTTCTCAACTTGCTGTGCTGCATCCTGTAAAGCTGCTCACTGCTACTCAGGATTTGACTCGGAATACTTGCGGCTGCAGTGACTTCGTCTCTAGCATTAAAGCATAAAATGTGTCAAAGAGCTGCTGCTGTTGCCGCTGGATTAGTTGTTGAATGAACTCTTGAACACATTAGTGGGGTGGAGAGCCGTGGGAGGCGGTGCAGAATGTGGGTAAAATCACATGACCAATTGCCAATTAGGTTGGAAAATGACAGCGGACATAGCTGAGTCTGTGTTGGTGCCCCTGCTGCACTGTATTGAAGGCTTATTAAAGCCAGTGTTTGCTTGTAATCAGAAATGATTCGTGTCAGATGCTTACCAAATACGAATGGAGGGATTGGGCGAAGAAAGACAATGAAGGGGAACGAGAGTGAGGTGCTAGCAGTACGGGATTTTCACTGTGGATCGGAACAAGGAACTAGAAATAAATTAAGAAAGTTCTCAGGTCTGTATGCTCTAATGTGAAGAATAACAATGACTTAAGGGCCAAGATCTGAGGACTTTTCCCATGTTAAAGCAGGTGCCATTAATAATACACCACTGCATTTGTACATCTAATTCATTAATTTAATCATCTTAATAATTACCGAACATTTTCTAATATCAGCCTCTAAATATGACATTTTGTTGCTCTTTTTTAATATATGTAATTTATAATCGAATATTTTTATAATTGAAAAATTTTACAGTTTAAAAATGACAAATATGTACACACGTAATAATATTTCCGTGAGCCTCTTGAAGTATATTTACCTTTTAATGCACAAGACCAAAAATCATTATTCACAAGTTGTATTTACAATTTGCAAAAGTTATCACCGAGGTTAATTACAAATCAGTATTGCAACACAAGTCATTATCGTGCTGGTGTTTGTATTCTGTTGTGCAGATAACATAATTTGATTTCAGCAGAGATGCGGCCACAAACTGGCCTCATTCTCACTATAAACAACTCCGATGAGAGGCAGAAGAGTTGTCGGGCTAGCCTGTCAGATTTAATATCATACTGGGGAGTTTTTTCTGTTTGGTTGAAGGCAACGAAATAATGCATCTCTACAAGGGCAAGACAAGAATGCAGGGATTAGACATGCATGGCTGAGTTGATGAGGTTTTACACATAATGCTGTCAGTAGAGAAGCTAATAGACAGAATTTAATGCCACGCTTTATTGTCATCATCCACCCAGCAAGCATGGCATTTTCATAAAAGCACGTGAGGAAAAACAGATTGTGACACGTTTTCTTCAAACTGCATATTGGAGTATCTTACTGAAATAAGAACGAGCTGCTTATCCTTGTGTTTAATGAAAACGCGCAGAAGGTCACAATCAGAGCAGTCTCCAGAAAGCGCTGGAATGAAATTATTCAGAGTTGAGTGGAGTCTTTCCAAGCATCCTCTTCCAATTCTCTTTGTTTTTCCTGAACTGTTATGTCTGCACAGAGCTACATTTATCTTTGGATTGCATCCTCTTGCATAATGTTTAGCAAAATGCTGACAAGGTAAAGAACTTTGGCTCTGATAATTTGGAACTCTGATGAAAAACAACCTTAAATCATTTCTGTGCTCTTTTCCACTGAAAGGTGGGACAAAAGGTGGGAGGGAAGCCCAAGTGAGGAGGATGGATGGTCCCACAGAGGGCAGTGGCAGCAGCCAAAAATGTATCAGATCAGGATACAAGAAGCTCACATAAAGTGGCTGCTTGCTTATCTGAGAAATGCATGAGTGAATTAGCAGTTTTGTTTTGAGTCCTCACCACCTTGGATAGTCTACTGTATGATATCAGAAAAATACATTCATAAAAAAAGACAAAAAAAATATCACAAAGGGAGGAACCTCCAGGAGTAATGAGCTATCAGTACTTATGATGCGTACCTTGGTTTCCAGCTTTGTCCTTTCTTGACCTGAGCATGTTGCAGCAGCAATCCTCCAAACTGAGGAGGAGTCTGGCACTCGTAACTGATGAATATGAAATTAACTTTCCAAGATTTTCATGGACAGACTAACCCATTAGGGGACACTTACTCGTAACCGTTAAGTATTCAATAGCAAAGAATAAACCAAAAAGAAAATATAAAATCAGAGAAGCTGGAAACATTTTTGCCTGAAAAGTAATATGACACATACATTTTAAAATTAAGAAATTATTGGAAAAAACATGCTTTTTTTAATCAAAGAAGTGTTTGCATTCAGACATTTAAACATGCAGTAAAATTATCAATAAAAATAAAAAACAAGGAAAATTCTACAAATGACTAGTGACATGATCTGTCTCCATGACAGCAGGATGTAATGCTGAGCTGACAACGCATTTATATGAACCCAAAGTGATAGATGGAGGTTTAGATAAGAGGAATACAGTGAATTGCATACAGCTTTTGACCTAATTGAACATGTACAAGTTAGACTGAAGGTGAATGGAAACTGGAGACGAGCAAGCTCACTAAAAACAAATCCAGCTTCCATCCTGGTAGCGATCCCACGCCACATTGCTAAAAACACACTGACCCCTCTTCGGGTAATGCTGCAAAAGAAAGCAATGTACTTTTTATTATATAAGTTGAATAGCATCTCAGTAACACCCACACACGGCTCATGTTGGAGAGCACATCACATGAGCCTCCACAGCAGTGCTGCTGCTTGACCTCAGCTCGAAGTGGAGCTGAAATAGTCCTTTTGCCCAGGGCAGGGTGGGGGCGGCTTGGTGGGGACAGGGTAGGGGGGTTATTGGAAACTGGAGGTAGGAGAAAAAGAGCAGAGGGGATATGTGCATCATGGGTCCCATGACTCAGTTTGAGCCTGTGAACAATCTGCACCCTGAGGGGGTGCAAAAGTTCTATCTCCTAAGTAGGCCATGAAGCTACACAGGGGAATATGGCCCATGGGTGCCCTATGATGGCATCAGCCACACTTCCTTATTTCCCGATGCACTCAGTAGCTACATTTTTTCGTACATGAAACCTGTACAACCTCGGTGTATATCCACCGACTTCATTCACTGTAGAATGAAAGTGATATTAAATTGATCTAACTGTCATGAAAAGGTCTGAATCTATATTTTTGTGTTGGTGCATATCCTTCCCTTTGCGCTTTCTGCATGACATGCTACTAAATTCACTCTGCTCAGCACAAATCACACCGGGGCTGTTCCAGACTGCACTGTCAATGTTTATGAGGTATTAAAATGCGTTGACTATGTCTCATTTACTTCTAAATTACCAAAAATGTAATCAGCCAGCGCGTTGGGGAAAATGAGTTTTCTAGTAGCCTGCACTCTGATGTAGTATCTATTTTCCTCTGTTATAATCATGTTATAATCATGCAGCTTCACGAGCTGTAATATCTCATAGATTTTTTTGTGGCTTTATCTTACTGTACTATCTTATTGTCTCCGTCATTTTCTCTCACTGTTACTGCCAGAGAATTAGCTTCATAAATATTGATTTTAGAATATGATTTACTCATATGCCCAAGACCTTCCTTCCTCAATCTCTTTTCAAATTACTCTTTTGCAAAACAAAGTGCCTCTTACACTGTTAAAATTGACGACATTTTTTTGTACATAAAAGCACTTAGTATCATTATTAGTAGCAGAAGTGATCCAGTTATTTGGATCCATCCCGACCGTCCAGAACACATCTCCATTAATTCGTTAATACTCTACACTTAACTCCATAACGACAATATGGATCTTACAGAAAAACTACAAAATACATCTATTTCCAATAACAAGTAGGTGAAATGCCATTCTATATTTTAGTGGAGCTTTGCAAGCATTGGATTTTTAACAAAGATAAGACTTGGATCATGTAAAGTGGGCTAAGGCATCTTTGTTTAGCTTACTTAATGGCAGCCTACATCCCTTTAGATGCTTCCATCATCTCAAAAAGGACATTTTCCTTTCACATTGTTCCTCTCAAGTGTCCAGTGCTGGAAAAGTGGTGTTTCTCTTTGATCATGCATTATTCAAAGTCACTGAATTCTCCAGGCGCACCTTAAAATATTCAACTTAAGCACTTTTTGTGTACATGTCACTTCATATCCCTTGTTCCTCTGCTGCGTTTGTTCATGAACTGTAAACGGCCATTTCTAACAGACGCATTAACTGTGAGTGTTACAATAGTCTCCAGAGGCAGACCACTCAGGCTGAAAAACAGTTATAGTGTAGCAGATTTTGTCGTGAACACGGAGCAGTGAGGAAACATGGTGCTTTGATGTCCGTGTAAGTGGGTAACATTTGTGTTGGTGAGCCTTCTTAGTGTTATAGCCTTATTAAAGGGTTTTTAGAAAACTGCAGTGAGTCTGTAATAAGGTACAAGGGTAAAGGCACCAGACTCCTGATGCCACGCATTGCTTTGGGGCTGCACAAGGTCAAAATGGTGCATGACTAACATGTTTTGCTGAATTATAACCGTGAGACTCATTTTCCTGAAAAGGGGCTCAGAGGTCTGATGAGCTGTGATACCATCTGACTACAAAAACAGGGGTTGGTAATTGCGGTGTGACCAACATTATTGCATCCGTGCCCAATCAAATTGTGATCTCTTTGTTTTTAATATGGTTACTTCAAAGATAGGGACCAGGTCTGAGACCGCTCAGTCACCATCTTCAAACCCATGTTGGTGCATCAAAACAGTGATAAAACGGGGATAAAACAGCAACAATCTCATTGAGATAATAATGTGATTAATGATGATAAAGCTCAAATCTTTTGTCTGCTGCAAATATGTTGCTATCCACACTTGACCTGTAGTGGTGTACTGGAACCAGACATGGAATCCATGCATTAAATGCAACACTGTCAGCCACAGACTGGGTCAGACTGAAATGTGGAAAATGTATTGCTTATACAGTTATAAGCAAACTGGCACCGCTAGTTCTTTTCAATAACAACAAGCATTTTACCAAGATCATCAGATTATCATACCCTGATGAAGATAAGAGAATGAATGGATTCATGGATGGATGGATGGAAAAATAAGAAGCAAGTAACACAATAATACAGTGTAAGTTCAGGTTTTATGCATGTTTCTCTCTGAAAACACTTAATGGTTCGTCTCTCCAACTACTTTGAACTAGATAGCAAAAAAAAAAGAAAAGAAATCAATCCAATCATTCGCCAACCACCTTTCCCTGGTTGCATGGAGGTTGTGGTCCTATTTTTCCTCTTGTGTGACTGAGGCCTTATTGAATTATTTTTGTCTTAGAAACATGTCAGACTTTGGTTGATTACAAGCCAGGAGAAGTTACTGTCACTCTCGTCAACTTTCTATAAGGAATCTCCCCCTTGGAACGCCTGACTTTTAGTCAATACTTCTCGAGGTCATCTGTAAATGCTGACCTTGAATGATACATAAATTAATAATGTAGTTATATAATGAATGAAAATGAACATGCATATTGCTTTATCATCTCCCAGGTTGCATTCCACATCCAACCATACAGAGGACGAAACGATCAGAGCGTGCATGACAACATCAAGTACATCATTGACAGGTGGGTGCATGTCTGGCTGTGCTTCATTGCTGAGTCAACTCAAATAGAAAGCCATTAAGATTGCATGCATAGCAAGAAAAACAGCAGTTACGACACTGAAATACTTTTAGGGTGCATTTCAGCTTATATAAAGCCAGTTTCATGACTTATGGATGAGTTTTTCAAGCAAAGGCCATTTTAACTTTTAACTTTAACATGTGGGGTTGCTCTGAAAAAGAGGACCTTTCAGAGATTTACTCAGAAGTCCCAAACCTTGAAAAGATATTCAGTTTAAGTAAGAAATGGTATACAATATTTTATTCTTTGTCTCAGCGGTAGGGTTTATTGTTGTGTTGTTAAATGTTCTGTATTATATTATTTTTAAGGTATGGCGACCACGGAGCGTTCTACAAGTTCACTACCAGCACAGGGAAGAGTCTTCCTCTGTTTTACATTTATGACTCCTACCTAACTCCACCCGAGTCCTGGTCTGAGTTTTTGACACCGACTGGCTCCCACAGCGTGCGTGGGTCAGCTTACGACTCCGTCTTTATAGCCCTGATTGTGGAGGAGCGTCATAAGCACGACATCCTGGCAGGCGGCTTCGATGGCATGTACACTTACTTTGCCTCTAACGGCTTCTCCTTTGGCTCTTCTCACCAGAACTGGAAAGCCATCAAAGCTTTCTGCGATGGGAACAACCTCCTTTTTATCCCCAGCGTGGGGCCTGGTTACATTGACACCAGCATTCGGCCGTGGAACAACCACAACACACGCAACAGGGTGAACGGACGTTACTACGAGACAGCCCTGCAGGCGGCACTCAACGTGCGCCCAGAGATTGTCACCATAACATCTTTTAATGAATGGCACGAGGGGACGCAGATAGAAAGGGCTGTGCCTAAAAAAACTGTGACACGGGTTTACTTGGACTATCAGCCACATGGGCCTGATCACTACCTGGAGCTGACCCGCCGCTGGGCCGAGCAGTTCAATAAAGAAAAGGAGCAGTGGCTCATGTGAGCTTTCATCAAACTGACTTGAAACGGCACGCTGTAGTGGAAGTGTGTGCACACATGAAAGAGGAGGCAAGAGAGCGATTGATTGATATAGTTTTGAGTGCAGAAGGACATGCTGTTACCTTTTTTAAACATGCTGGATGCGAGAGGTCCTATAGATGTGTGTGCAAATTCAAAGATAGGATACAAAGCGTATCAAAAACCCAGACTTGTAAAATGCTCTGTGGGTCTGTCTCTAATCTCCACCACACAATTGGTACGTTGAAATGTCTGCCCGATAATTTATTGTATTTCTAAATACAGTAAGCCACCATCTCATGCCCCTTTATATGGTGAAATAATAGAACTGAAGACACTGTAGTTTTCATTTACCCATAACATACAATTTGACCCTTTACCCAGGTTCAGAGAGCTTTTTAAAATGGGGATGATGTGGTGTTTTACAACTTGTCACTGTCACACAACATCATAATTTGTAAAGGTAAATTTGGAACATTATAGCATGTTAGCTCAACTTGTAAAAACACAGAACATGACAGTTTCTCACAGCAGATCCCCTGCATCCATTTCACTCGATCTCTAACATCTTCCTCTGTCACGCCAACCATCTGCACGTCCTCCTGCCTGAAAGCATCAATCTTCAGCATCCTTCGTCCAGCACATCCACCATCGCCTCTCTAACCTTGCCTCCAAACTGAGAGTCACCCTGATATCCTCATTTCCAATCCTGTCCATTCTGCCAGTAAAATCTTAACATCTTTTACTCCACCTCCAGCGTGACAACTTGCCCTTTCGTTATTGCCGCTGTCTCTAAACCATATATCACAACAGGTCTCACTACCATCTCATAAACTCTTTTACTCTTGCCATCCTTCACCAACAAACTAACTTACCAAGAATACTCATTTCTGATCTACCCAAATAAAATTGGGTAATTTCAACCGCTCCTTTATTTCCTGAGGCCTCTGACACAGATTTTACTCTAGGTACTATTGACACAACCCTCCCATTCATCAGCGCAAGCTTGTGAGTCCCCGAGGCTGGGATTGTGTCTCCTCTTTGTCTCAAGCTGGGGATCTTTCCCATATTACGTGTCAAGTACTACACCACAGACCCGATATCTACCCAAATACAATTGGAGATTGAGTAATTCCTATATGAAAAGACTTCACTGTAAGCATATGGGACTCTGCTTTTTTTTTTCTCCACTGAAGCAAGAAGTCAGGACATGAAAGTCTATGGCTCAAAGTGATTGAACGCATTAATGAATATAAACCTGCCCACTGACTGGGGCACCCTGGGGCACACTCTGTATAGACTTGATTAAGATTCTGATAGCTTTTAAAATGAAAGGTTTCGCAGAGACAGGCGTTTTTGAGAATAAAAGTGCGTTCTCTGAATGATCCGAAGTTGATTTCCCTGTCCAGGTTGCCAGTAAGTGGTTTCTGCTCCTTTTTAAACACTTAACATTGCTCTATTGATTTCACCCTCCATTAAGAAGCTGTTTTGAGTGAAAATCCAGACACCAGTGGATAAAGACAGAAATAAATCTCAGATAGCTTCTTGTGCATGGATAAAACTGTGAGACTGGGAAAAAAATATATAATTTTATTGTGGATTTGCCAATGTTGTACCATCTGTTAATCAAGGTCCAATCAGACACTGAAGATTTAATCATGTACTCCAATTATTAACATTCAAATGAGAGGAATTCTACAAATTATATCCATGTGCCAACCGAAACAACCCAAATGTGCCAGTATTAGTAGTCTACACTGTAAAACAATTGAAGTGCAATCTTCACGCTGTCAGAAAAAAGATGATAAAAAAAACAAACCAACAAACCAACAAAAAACAAAACCAGAAAACAGTTTACAGCCCCCTTAAATAAAAAGTTGATTTATTTTATCACACAGATTCAATCAGACCATTAAAATGTGTTCACTACAGCTCTGATCGTGTTGCGAAAAGGCTGGCTCAAACCATTCTTTCTCCCATGACCACATTACTTAAAGTACTATACAGCTGACCTATTTCTGTATAAATGATAGTTTAAAGCTTAAACTCCCAAATAATGTAATGACAGAAACATATACAAAATATGCTAATCTAAGACATAAGGAAAGATACTCAAGACTTTGAAGCTGCCACTGGAACAAAATCGTCCATCAGCAGTTTCAGTCCTCCTGAGATACAGTCTTCCCCGGCAAAGGCTGATTCATGGATTCATCTTCTCCCAAGTAGCCCCGGGTCAGAGCTGGTTGTGCGTGATTTTTGGAGTGTGGAGAGTTCAAAGGTCATTCTTCCCCAGAGAGCTCTGACAGTCCATATTTGCGCTTGAGCACATCAACCGTAGAAGAAAGGGCACTGAAATCAAAATTAAAGTCATTTCTTGTTTAATGTACCAAGTCTACTTCAGAGGAAACATGGGTGGTTTGGGGGCAGAGGGGGTGTAAGGGTCAGAGTGAGAAAGAAGAGTGTTAACACGATGTGACAGACTGACTCCAAATATGGTTTTTTAATGAAACTAAGACTTGTTCTTGCAAAATGCCTCCTTATTTTTTGTGGTGGGTATTTCAATATTTAAGTTTTGTTTTAGGAGATTCATACTATAGCTGGTGCTGTAACACTGGGAGAGGCTGGAAACACCTGGGTATTTCAAAGCAACAGTGAGTCAGTGCGGATGCATTCCCCTTCTTCAAGTCATGGAATAAACTGGTGCTATATGAATAACTTCCAGTTCTAATTCAGGTGACTTGAGCAACGTATGACTGCTTACTTTGGATATTTTAATACATCAGACTCAGTCAGTTTACTTTTGCTCAGTTCTGGTTTGAAAATGTTTTTTTTCCAGTCAATTTTTTTTGTCAGTTGTAAAATGTGCCTGAAGTTCTCTGAAGGAGTTTAAATGATATGCTTAAACATTCAGTTACATCAGATAGTTTTATCTCACTTGGAGAGAAACTATTGGAAAAAGCGTCTGGATGAACTTACCACCCTGGTCTGATGATGCTGTATTTGCCAAGTACTGACAGGTCGACTACTGTTGATCCGAGGCGGCTCTGGTCTCCTATCGGTCCACCATCAACAACCACAGCTAGTTTGGGCCAGAGCTCCTGGAACTCCTTAAGAGGATAAACCCAGCAATATTCAGAGCTACATACACTCACTGACCGCTATGTTAAGTGCGCCTGTTCAACTGCTCAATAATACAAATAATTAATCAGCCAATCACATGGCACCAAGTCAATGATTTACACATGTAAAGACAACCTGCTGAAGTTCAAACAGAGTATCATAACGGGGAAGAAAGATGAATGAAGTGAAGTGATTTTTTCATCACAGTGAATTCACTTCACTCAAATGGAGCCCACAGTTACCAGATTTCAATGCAATAGAGCACCTTAATAATGTGGTGGAAAAAGAGATTGGGATCGTGGATGTGCAGGTGGCAAATCTGGGGCAACTGTGTCTGTCTGGTAGGTGTACTTGAAATTTAACCTCCTAGGACCTGGCGTCCACATACGTTGACATCACATTTAAGAAATATGTAAAATACAAAATTTTGCTCTACAAGGGCCTGGTATCCACTTACGAGGACATTATAGTGCCACTGCTCTATCGAAATTTAAAGCGAATGTCCTCATATGTGGATCTCATTTTTCTCAGAAACAAAAACAAACAAAAACAAAACATAATTCTTTGTTTTTACACTCATCAGATCCTAATCAGCTCAAATAGCAAAGAGACATTAAAAATGCATGCCATGAAAGAGTTCGGGTCTAAGGAGGTTAACATACTTGAAACTGACAGAAACAAAAACATCATTTACTTTAGTACTTACATGTACTTCCACTGTGCTGGTCTGTGAGCTGATGTTGGCACTTGTGAGTGCCAGTGGTTCCCCACACATCTGACAAAGTTGCCTCATAAAGGGATGATCTGGGATACGTACACCTACAAGCTGAGGAAGACATGGATGTGTAAACAACAATTCACACTTATGATCAAACAATTTATTGTCAGCACTATTCAATGAAAAAGAAGCAAACTCACTGAGGTAAAGGGGTTCAGGTCTGTGTTCAGTTCTTCAGACCTTTCAAACACCAGGGTGACAGGACCAGGGAGCAGGTCACCTAACAGCTCTTTTTTCACCTTCACCTTGCAGTACCTGCACATGACATCACATTACCATACTTGTGTGTAATCTAGCTCCCTAAACTATAAGGAAAACAACATAAATGACCATTAATGACTGCATCACTGCAAAAAAAAGCAGCTGTGTTTTATTTGATTCTCTGCTCTGATCCTGTTTTGTCTTTTGCAATGAAGTTTTGAACTCATGATGTCACGACACCAATTTGCATTGTGGAAAAATTGCTTTGGGCCATTTCATCATGTTCTGAATTTTAATGAAGCAAATGACTGATAGCCAAAATAACTATCTGATAATAAAATAATTGTTTTTCAGGCCAGAATAGTTTTTGGGAATATCCACTATTGTCTGATTTAATTTGTTTCACTTTAAATCCCACAAAGCTTTAACAAATCTCAAAGAAATGCGACATGCCTGCACAGCGATAGAAAATACAGTCACAGAATAAAGTTGCGAATAATAATTACCGAGGTGTCCTTTGACAGCAGGTGTGCCTGTCACTCAAAATGTAAAATGTGTTATTTGAGTGGAGATGGTATCTGTGCCTCATGCATGTGTGACTCTTCAGGAAATGAGTAATATGTTTGTGCAAAATAGATGGCTTAGAGGAGGACTGCACTTAGAATGAAGCAATTACACAACATGTGCCCTGATCAAAGTGAAATAAAAGCACACTTACTTATAGATATCCTGAATTTCCCCTACACAGATGGCCAGCGGCTTCTGTCCGTTTCGTCCTTTAGTGTCATACGTTTTTCTGATGGCGTCGGAGTTTTGGGCCAGACATGCCAGGCCGTAGATGGTATCTGTGGGCACCGCAACAATGTGACCCTCTTTCAGGGCCTTTACCGTGCAACTCAGGATTTCAGCACCATCTGCAGTTCGAAAACAAGGGGTGTTAATGAGACGTCATCCACAGAAGGACACAACAGTATGAATGGATGGTATGAGGAGGTTAGGGCATCTAAATTAAATGTTTACTCTAAACATGTTCCCCCAGCTTTATTGCTTGCATTTTCCTTTATGTATAGGTACAAATTTAGGCTCATCAGCTATCGTGAATGCAATGTAAATACATTAGGGGGAGCGATAAAACAGGAAAAAATATGTATAGTGTAATATGTTTGTTGACACAAAAAACCACACGCCTGAAGTAGCTAAAAAACAAACAAACCAAAAACCAAAAGTACACAACTGAAGTGTGAATAGATAAGCAACCTAATGAAATCCTACTCACACAATTGAACAGGTGATGTAACACCTTTCCAGATGCAATCTCACCTTCTAATCACACTATATACTATAATGCTAAAATATTTGTTGCTTGCCTTCACACACACATCCCATTCTCAGTCCAGAGGATTTAATATGTCAGCCCAGCCTTTGCAGCCATAGAAGCCTCAGCTCAGCTGGGAATTGTGTTTATGGGAATTTTAACCATCCAGAAGTGCATGCATGAGGTCAAACACTGATGTTGGACTCACAGTCTCTGCTCTAATTCAACCCAAAGGTGTCTGTCGGGTTGATGTCAGGACTCTGTGCAGGCCAGTCAAGTTCTTGCACACCAAACTCGCTCATCCATGTCTTTATGGACCTTGATTTGTGCACTGGTGTGCAGTCCTGTTGGAACAGTAAGGGGCCATCCCCAAACTATTCCCACAAAGTCAGGAGCATGAAATTGTCCAAATTGTTTTGGTGTGCTGAAGCATTAGGAGTTCCAACCAGACGTCATAATTCCCCTCTTCACCAAACGCTACACTTGGCACATTGCAATCACACAAGTTCTGTTCTCCTGGCAACTGATTGCCAGATGTAGAAATGTGATTCATTACTCCCGAGAACACATCTCCACTGCTCTAGGGTCAAGTAGCAGCGTGCTTTACACCAGTGTATTGCTTTGCATTGCACTTGGTGATGTAAGCCACTCAGCCGTGGAAACCTATTCCATGAAGCTCTCTATGAACTGCTTTTGAGCTAATCTGAATGCCATGCGAAGTTTTGGAGGTGCATAGAAACTGACTCTGCAGAACGTTGGCAAGCTCGGCACACTATACATCTCAGCATCCGCCGAGTCTGCACTGTGATCACACTTCATCAGCCATGAAGTGATAAAATCACACTTCATGGCTGAGTGGGTATAATACCACTCACAGCTGACTGTGGAATATTTAGTAGCAAGGTAATGTGACAACTTGTCTTATTGCACAGGTGGCTTCCTACTCACTCACTGAGCTGCTCAGGGACCCATTCTTTCTCAAATTTTTGTAGAAGCAGTTTCAAAACATTAAGAACACCTGTCAGCATACTCATCGTCTTAGTACATTTCATTCTACACCTGTTTAAATGTTAAACCTGTTAAAGCAGTGATTGTCAAAAGGATCTGCTTAAGTTCAACCCAAGTATCCGAAGAGGCAAAATACGTAATTTAACTCCATTTGGATAGGGCCAGATGAGGACCTGAGGTTTTCACACAGTACAGAGGCATGAACGTTATGGTAGTTTGGGGCTTTTAATAATTTCTTTAACTTTTGTTTTCCTTTTTCTACAGTGGAATACAGCATACATAATGACTACAACAACAAGAATTAGGTGTACAACTTTGAATTTCTGCCACTAATTTCTAGTTTGGGCAAACAGCTACAAAGTAAGCAGTACATCCTAACTGGCAGTGCTCACTCTACTGTGACTTAACTGGAGCTTAGTTTTGGATGTTAGAATCACATCGGGTTAGCTGTGAGTCACACATAACAGGAAAACCAAGAATCTGATGCAACATGGTGCAGTGTTTACGTTGCTTAGCGCTAATCAGAGCCGGCTGTTTACAAACACACCCTGCTTCACTAAGCGAGACCTACGTCCACTTTGAATGTTAGACACATGTACCTGTCTCGTCCCGATGGACCGTCGGTCCGTTGGAGGTCGGCGGTAACAGACGCAACACTTTTGTCTTGAGCTCTTTAAACATCTCTGCACTGATCCGACGAGCTGCGACTGAACCGTGAACTCCTCTAGATGTATTTACTAATACAGCAGCAATACTACATACCAGCTTCATAAAATCAAGCGTTCATCCGGAGGACTACCCTGTCTCACACGAGCAACGTGTTGTGGTGGGACCAGATGATAGAATTTTTCCGGGTTACGCCCCCAATCTATGACGACAACAATTAAAGAGCCAGCGGCACGGAAAAATGCAGACTAATACCAATGACCGCCATAAAAACGAGTATAATTTCACACTTGACATATACTTATAGCATTTCTAAAGAGATATCTCTCTCTCTATCTTTCTAAACCGAATGCCAACTGCATTCTTTAGCTCATTTTTTTTACCTTTTGCAAATAAATAAAAATTATGAGCCTGGTTATATCAAAAATAAAATTTTAAAATAAAATGCATCACGTTTACGGAAAAAGAGGAAAAACAGCAGTGAATAAAAATGTTTTAATACGAGACACTTTCATTGGGAAAAAACAAACCTGTCTTTTTTTTTTTTTTGCTATTTATAGGGGAAAGAAAACAACAAAAACCCCAAACAGATTATTAACTTCAAGTGAATTTCTCAGAACTTTGAGTAGTTAAGTCAAAAATGGGAAACTATACCCCGAAATATACCCTTTCACTTATTGGTGCCTTTTTTGTCCTCCCCCAGTGGTAGAAACATATGTCCAGAGTGGCCTGGGCAGTTCTTTCCCTCGTCATTCACTAATTAGTAAAATATAAATCACCTGAGCACACCTGCTTAAAAACATCGAATGCCCTTCCTCTATGAAACACGCTGAGCTTGCAAGACAAATGTGTATTTGATCATGGCCTCGGAAACTGGTAAGGTCGCCTGCTGCCCTCCAGCTTTCATGTTATCAGCGGGTTTGTCCAGGTATGTTTTGAACACTTGCAGGTTGCGCAGAGGATTTGCCGTCTGGGCGCGTTGATGAGGCAGGCTCCGAGACTAGACAGGTGAGTCACAGCATGACATTTTAGCCTGATGGTGCTAGGCATTTTAACCAACACGTCCTCCGCAGGCTCTACAGGACATCGAGGACAGACTGTTGGACCTGTCTGAAAAAATAGCCCTGTGCAAAAAGATCGAGAATGACTTGAAGGACTTGCGTCATGCCCTAGAAGTGAGTTTTCTTCTGGTCTCTGAATTCTACTACAAATGGTTATTGTGTGTTTTTTTTTTTTTGTTTTTTTTTTAAATGACACTGGTTAAATGTTACAGAGGAAATCCCCCCAGGATGTGTCCGCACCACTCCAGAAATGAAGAGAAGAGGAAGACCCCTCCCACCTGCTGATTGCTATCTAACTAAATGAATGAATTCTATTAAAGTAACACACAATGCTTCACCAAGCAAACATTTCAGTGACAAGGATAAGGTTTTATTAGTATTATATTGCTCTCAATTCAGAAAGTTACTCATATTTATATGAAACGCATAAGCAAACAGTTTCACATTATACATTCTTTAAAAAATACAAATTCTTAACATTTCCTCACTCTTTGGGTGTCAAGACATTCCTTTGGAAGCATGTCGTTTTCCTCTTTCTCCCTGCCCCAGCTCTTCCTGGAAAATATAGCCTGTTTGGTGGAAAATGTTGATGGCAGAAATTCCAAAGACTCTACACTTGTGAACAATCTGCTTCCAAACAAATGTCGCCACAATTGATTTGCTGACACTACAGACTGATGTAAATATTAGCCACGTGAACTTGGCCGACAAAGGCAAAATTTCTCTGTTTAATGAAAGAAACCAATAATTCACATGTTAAACTGAAGCGTGCGAAATGATGAAACTGGATGGAATTCTAAACATATTTAAGCTTAAAATGGAAAATATCTGATTAAAATAACAAAACTGCCAAATACTTAAACATGCAAATCCAGCTGATATTAAACCAATTACAGAGGCCATAGGGTGGCTGTGAAACAGTACTTCATGGATTCACTACAGTCCAGATTCACACCATTCAATGCAAAATATACAGGAGCACTGTAGCTCAAAGCTATATTGCAGCAAATATTACTTAATGGGAGGCATAAGTAACCATTTAATCTTTGAGTCGTTAACTGAACTTGTAAATACCACACTTAAAATTGCATAGTTGGGTTCACCAATGATCTGTATGAAAATGTATAATGGTGAATAGGTACGACTCCCAGTGGTATTTTTTTTTTTCTTTGTGGGAATTATTTTAATATCCACTGGAGTCAATGTCAGATTTGGATGCTCCAGACATCTAATTAATATTGTATTATGGGAGGAAATTTGCCTTGTGGCTCCTATAAATTTCCTAAATCACACCAGAGGAGCCAGATTAAAACTTTGCTTTTTTTTTTTTTTTTTAAAGATTGATTCTGCAAATTGGAAATTAAAAGCAGAATCATAATGTCTGCATCTGTTATATAGCTGAGTTTAATTTCTTTTTTTAAGTCAATGCTGAAATATTATAGTATTATATTGGTAAAGCCCATTTGACTTTCCCAATATCACAACTGGAAAATCTCCATGCTTTTGCCTTGGTGTGATCTGCTGCTGGAATGGCTGCCTGAGAGTCGGTGAATGTGAAAACAGAGTGTCAACAAGCCGATTACTAAAGCAGAGGCTATCAAGGCAAGGAGGCTTACAGAACAATTAATGTTGTAAGGCCAAGAAGCTCTACTGTCATTTACAGGGCATAATGCCTTTACTCTATCATCATTGCATTGTGTCCCATGCGAAACAATACTGTTAAATTATACTCTGAGCCAGAGGCTATGCATTACATATATTTTCTTACAATGTGGACTATACAGAAACCCAGCGGCTTGTATAACTATTCAACTAAAACACAGCAAAAACATCTTCTGCATAAACGTGACAGGGAGAAGAATGAACAGAGTATACATTAGGTTCAAACTCAGAGTTAGCAATTCAAAAGTCTATACAAAAATACAAATTCTAGAATAATCTACAAGTTTTTCAAAGATGTTTACACTAAAATGTACCATATTTACATTGTCACCAGGACACCATCTTTTAAATGCTACTTTACAGCAGGTTTATACAAAAACTCTGTAGTGGTGCCGCAAATCAGCCTAACCGATATGCAGAACCAACTTTACAAGTTAGTGTGCAATAAACAGGGAAGAGTGCAGCAAAAATGTAGGGCTACTGCGAGTGTGGGCCGTCCGGCATGGAAAATGCATGTCTGAGAAAATTGTGGGAACCAGGAACAGTTATGACTTGATGCATCCCTGAGAGGGTCACAACCCTAAAGAAGATGGGATGTTGACAGTAGTTCCTTATAGTTTAGTTGTGGGCAAGTTTTTGCAAACAAGCAGATCCTAGAGGATATTTTGCTTGACTGTGCAGTCTACTACACGTGCCTCGTTTTTACAATACTTACGTTCTTATGAAGGTAAAACAATTCAGTAACAAAAAAGCAGCTCAACTTAAAAAAAACATGTGATTGGAATAAATTAATAGATTATTTCTGCTATCTCAAAGATGATAGTATCATTATATTGAAAGAATCAGGCATTTAAATAAATTAACATATACAATTTTAAGTTAGTTTAAGTTATAGGCAACTTATTGACGTTATGTCGCTTAAAGAGACAGGCAGATCTGATCACAGGTTCTCAAAAAAAGTAAAAAAGAATCATCACATTATCTGGACCGCACTAGTCTTCATAGAAAACAAACAAAATACTGAGGAAATCACTTCATATTACAAGACAGCCACGTGGGAAGCTGTGTGACCAAGCTCTTTAAATTTTTGCTGGGAGCAATGCTTGATTAAAATTGTAGCAAAATCCTCTCATATACAGTGCATTATGGTTATTTGCATACCAGCCTAAAGAATTTGTTAGGACCTGTAGTACAGTACGAGGATACAGTACAAGGACAGATGAGTTTTGTTTTCCTGCTAAGGTGTGTGACCTTCAAGCCAGGACAATGAAACTCTAAATTATCAGTGCTTGGACAACACTTGGTCATTTCAATCAATTCAGAGTGAGGATTATTATAAAGAGTTTATCTTTTCAACAAAGGATCTACTGCCTTTTCCCTGCATTAATTAGCGTTTAAGTTGCTAAAACTCAACTACTGCAATGAGACTCAACAGAAAAGTTACACATACTTTGTATATATACCATACCTGTCCCAGTGCCATACAAAGCAGAATGCACTGCAGGTACTGGGGGGTTTCAATGCACACGCTATATAGGGTGAAAGAAGAGGCATAACTTCGGAGAGTGACTCGAGGTGTGGGTGGAATCGACGCTTGTGGGTGAGTGGGTGCAACAGACAAACATGTGGTGCCAGACTCCAAAGGCAGCTCTTTTAAGGATTGCCATCAGTAGCCATGCTGAAGTCATCTGCGACCAGCAGCAGAGCCTCAATGTTGGCGGCTGTCTCAGGGCTCTGCAGGGAGAGGAAGTCTGAGACGTCCATACTGGCTAACCCGTCAGATGAGGGTGGGTTGGCGGCAGTGCCGCTCACTATTGTGGAGAAAGTCTGAGCTGTGGAGGAGGAAGAAGAAGAAGAAGAAGAGGGGGCCTCCAGTGTCACCTCACCCACCTTGGAGGAAGACTTGGGGGGGCAGCATGAGGAAGATGAAGTTGCTGAATGGTGCTGAGGCTCTGATAGTGGCGGGGGAGGGGGCTCTGGTGGCTGCTGCTGTGATGGGGCTGAAACGATGGAGGAGGCACTCTTTGCACTCTTGTCTTTAGCAGAGTCCCTGCAGGCACACTGACACTGGCAGGATTCCTCCTGTTTGATGATGATGACTGGCAGGCTGAGGCCGATCTGCTGGACTGAGTTACCTACAACAGAAACATTACGTTTGATTAGGCCAATGCAAAGAAATTAGTCAAAACCACAGTGGTGTCTGCAAAAGTAGGCTGTCTGATTGTACCCTGTCAATATTTACAGATGGAAACATTACAATAGATTAGGTGACCACATGTTCCTATCAGCAACATGAACTGTAAACGTTGATGAAAACACCATCATCTGGTAGACCTGGCAGTGGTTCTTTTAAGGACCATAAGAGCTGTAAATTCACCAGCAATCACTAACAAATCAAAAATCTTTGACTTCAACTTGCTAATTAGAGCCACCCCCCCCACCCCCCATTTTCTGTTTTGTCAATTTATATTAATATATTTGGGGAATTCTTAATTAAAAAAAAAAAAAAAGAGTTCAGGGAATCTTACTTTTTTCCTCTCCATTTCATAAATGTTACATTTAATTAGGTGGAAAAAAGATTTAGCAAAAATGAAAGATGGTTACTATCAAGCCTCAGCCTGAGATTGCCATTTCCTTCCTCAAACTTCGCGTTTGTATTACCAAATACTTTTCCTAGTAACTATTGCATACTATTTAACTAATCATCATTAACCCAAGTATTTTAGTGGCAAAACAAATGTATGATTTCCTTAGTCTTTGGCCAATGTCAACAGCACAAGATTGGTTTCACGGTGGCTTACCAGCATTACCTCCCACTGGTATGGCTGTAGTGAAGAAAACCTTTTCCACTTTTGGAGCTCCTTGATGTGGCTGTGAATAAACAAAAACACCAAAGTTCAAAAGGGTTAACAATAAATATCAGTATCCCCAAGATGATTACACCATGTTCTTTTTTTTTTCTTTTTTGTTTTTTTTTTAGACCGTATCAAAAAGGGATGGACTGTGTATGAATTAAAAGCCATACTTTCCCTAATGTTTCATTTACCTAGTTTCATAGTTTGTTTGTGCTGCCTTGTTTTCTTGTGAACAAGATGAAGAGGAGAACAGATTCTGTGTGGGATCATTACTCACTGCTTGCTCTGGGTTCTGCTGGCTGTTGGTGGCACTGCTAAGGATCCATTGGAGATTCTGGTCAGACATGACCAAGCTGGGCTGCAGCAGGTTCTGTGTGGGTGCTATGGTGATAGTGGCAGGGGTGGTTGCCAGACCAGGGCCAGAGTTTGGACCAGGATTATTGGCCAAAGGCACAGGTTGAGCCACAGGTGCTAGAGCATCTGTTGTGGTAGCTGCAACAACAGCAGGGCCTGGTGCTGTGGCAGTCAGTGAAGGGGCAGGAGCAGGCGTAGCAATGGGTGGTGGTAGTGGAGTGGTCTGGGTAGTACTATCTTGCTGTAGAAATGTTGGTGGCAGTGCCACATATTGCTGGGGGGTGACGTGGTTTTGTGGCTGGACAGAAGCCTGTGGCACGTCTGAGATCTGCTGCATGAAAGCAGGAGGCTGTGTTGTGCTAACATTTGCAGTGATGGAGGCAGGGGTGGAGGTCTGGGAGGAAGAGCTCTGATTGAGCTGGGAAGAAGCCTCCATGACTGCAGCGTTTTGTGAACAAGTAGATGAGGAGGTAGGATTGACAGAGAAAGAGATGAGAGAGGAGGCTTCTGTCACTCCCGGTTGGGTGGGAGTGTCCAAGCCGAAGGGCTCAGCAAGGTTCTCTGGTCAAGGGGGAAAAAAAAACCTTCTCAGAACAAGAACTTTAAGAAAACCCAAACAGGTCGATTTTTAAATGAAATATTCTTACCGCTGGGATGAGCATCATCTTGGCTGATGCTATTTTCAGGACTCTGGAACATAAGCTCAAAGATTTTCACAGGGGTGGCATTGTTGAGGTCCAAATTTTGAGCCTGCAATAAAATTTAAATGAACAAAAGCCTTTAAAAAAGTGCACTCAGTGCACTTTTAACCTTGACATTTTAATA